TTTTTCTTAAAGGCATCAATGAACCAACTACCTGTGAGACATCTAAAATAAGGACCCCATGGGTAAGTGAGTCCAGAAGCAAATTTTGCTGTGAGTACTGGCTAATCAACAATTTTTGTTTTAACAGGGGGTGGGGTGGGTGGAAAGAAATCAAACTCCAGTGTCCACACCAGGCAGGGGTCCTAGGAGGACCCCCCCCCCAATAAGCTGGGACCCCACTGAGTCATGCTCTCAGGGCGAAGATGAACACAAGTGGAGGAGTGTAGATTCTCGGCATGGTTTGCTCTGAATCACTCAGGGAATCTCAAGCCTTTGATCTGCCTTCAGGGAGTCCCAGGCCAAGGCCCAGAGACTTAAATGGAAATCTTCTAGAGAAAGATCTTCACCCTACACCTCAAATTAGTTCTACAAATAATGTTCCAATGCGACGACCGTGACATGGTCAAAGATGACCGAGTCCGCAAGGAACCAAAGGGCACAGAGAACAGGCTGGGATACCAGGATCTCCACTACTCCAATGACCAGACAGTGAAGCAACTGTGCTTAAAGTGTTCCAACAATGAAGGTGAACAGGAGGAATGACAGGTAACAGGAAATTAAAAGAAGTAAAGCCAGTGTGAAAAAGAACAAACATACAACTTCCAGAAGCAGGGGGTGAGGGGGGGGGGGGTGTAATTAAAATACCAAAATTAAAAACCCACTGAACATGATTAACATGGCTAAAAAAAAAAAAAAGGTGGGGGGTGCCTGGGTGGCTTAGTCGGTTAAGCATCTGACTTCGGCTCAGGTCATGATCTCGTGGTTTCTGAGTTCGAGCCCCGCGTCGGGCTCTGTGCTGACAGCTCAGAGCCCAGAGCCTGCTTCGGATTCCGTGTCTCCCTCTCTCTCTGCCCTCCACCGCTCACGCGGTCTCTAACATAAATAAACATTAAAAAAAAAAAAAAAAAAGCGTCACCAAACTAGGAGACTGGTCCAAAACAGAGCAAAAATAGCAAAATAATTTTCTCTCGTTCTACCGATAGCACTAAAAGCCTACAGACCCAAACTGACGGCTATCTGTTAGCCTCACGCAATCATCAAAGCTGTCCACAAGAAAGTTCTTAACACGCTCGATTTTGGTTTTCTTTCAGCTCCTCCTGCCGCTACACAGGCCCCTACCGAGCTGACTCACCCCGCTCAAGGGAAACCAAAAATGATCAACAAACACAAGATATTTACATCATACCTCAATATACTTCATTCACACCACCATGAAGTGATCTCGGAGGAAAGCGGGAACAAGGCACCTAAAAGCACGAGCCCTGGAAACCGCGGAAGGTCAGACAGGAACGGAACCCGCTCTCCTTGGGCCACGATCACGCCTGCGAGGAAGCCCACCTGGTGTTTCAAGGTCGACTCACCTTCTTCTTCTGACTAGGAGTGCGCACTCCTTTGGCTTCGCCCTGACAGCTGACAAACGAGGAAAAGATGGGAAGCGAAGCGGACCTCTCGGTTTTCACATACAGGAGCTTCACGCTCTCCCACTTCTGCAACAGAGACAAGAACGACACTGTCGGTCCACGTCCCGTTTCTCCTGCGCGAACCACCGACTGGTGCACCTGTTAAGACCGCACGCACCTCTGGCAGCTTCTGGGAAAGCCTCTTCGTGACCGCGATGATGTTATCAATGATGTGCTGGACCTCCATTCCCGTGTGACCAACGCGGATGGTACTGAAATGTAACACGGCAGCAGACAAGAAGGTTTTTAAGAATAAGTTGTTTAAGCAATAATAATGATTTGTTTCTCGGGGAGCCTCGGTTAAGTGTCTGACTTGGACTCAGGTCATGATCTCACAGTCCTTGAGTTCGGGCCCCGTGTCAGGCTCTGTGCCGACAGCTCAGTGCCTGGAGCCTGCTTCGGATTCCTCCCCGCCCCCCCTCCCCCCCCGTCCCTCCCTGCTTGTGTGCGCTCTCTCTCTCACTCTCTCAATAATAAATGAACATTAGAAAAATATATGAAAAAATTTTTTTGTTTTTCAAAATGCAGCACAGGCAGGTATGTGAGAAATCTAAATACACAATCCTAAAAGGAAACGTAAGGTAGAAACATAATCTTTAGGGTTTCAACAGATTTTAGATTCTCTCTCTTGCTCTCTCTCTGCCCCGCCCCATGCTTGTGCGCACACGGGCATGCTCTCAAAATGAATAAACAAATGTTTATTTAAGGTCACCTGGGTGCCTCAGTCGGTTAAGCGTCTGACTTTTGGCTTGGGCTCAGGTCATGGTGAGCTCGAGCCCCATGCCAGGCTCTGCACTGACAGTGCAGAGGCTGCTTGGGATTCTCTCTCCCCCTGTCTGACCCTTCCTGGCTTGTGTGCATGGGCGCTCGCTCACTCTCTCTCAAAAACTAAATACTTCTAAAAATAAAAATAAATAAACATTTTTAAAAGGCCGGGGGGGGGGGGCGTGCCTGGGTGGCTCAGTCAGTTAAGCCTCTGACTCTGGATTTCAGTTCATGAGCACACGGTTCAGGAGTTTGAGCTCGGTGTCGGGCTCTGTGCTGAGCTCTGAGCTCTGTGCTGTCAGTGCGAGGCCTGCTTGTGATTCTCTCTCTATACATATTCTGTATACCCTCAGTCCTATATAGAGAACACTGATAGAGACCATTTACATCACTGTGGAAAGCTCTAAGGGGCAGCTGCTTCCAGGGAATGACATGCTTGGTAGGGATGGACTTTAGTTTTAATATAAAGATCTGGTTTTCATTCACACGATCTCGTAAGAGACAGCTTACAAAATTATTACCGAATGAACAGGAGACTAAACAGGCACACACGAGCACCTTTTCCCTACCTGCAAGAACCACTTTTTGAGATGTTCAAGACAGTCCCGCCTATACAGGTGTTGATCTCCTTGGATAAATTCTTGGCCAGAAGGTTTACAGGAACGGGAACCCTGTAACGACACGCAGGCGCTTGGAGCACAGTGCACGCGCACGGGTGACGTCCACGGGGCTCAGACGCAGCCACTGCGAAGCAACCTACTTCTTTCTGTGATAGAAGTGTCTCCCCAGGTGCGACGGCAGGAGCCGCCGGATTCTCGCATCAGTGAGGAAGAAGTCAAAGCTGCCCAGCAGGCGAAGCTTGGCTTCATAGGGTTTGTATTCCGTCTTTAAAGTTCGCAGAGGGATGATCTAGAAACATAAGAGGAAAAACCCCAAAAGTTAAGGACTTGACCAAGAAGGAGAAACACTCAAGCGGTAACTTGGGTCTGGATCTTAAACCGTCATAGAGCCACACAGTTCAGTCAACCTGCGGCGAGAACCCGCGATGTGCCAGGAGGTGGGCTCACCGACGGAGGCACAAACGGGCTGGGACCCACATCAAGAAAGGACACCGGTGACTACAAGCCACGAAAGTGACCTAACGGAGAAGTCTTTTGTGAAGTCTTCAAGATAATAAAGGTACTGCTGTACCTGTGAGCTCTGGGGTCAAGAAACCTCAACAGCTCATCCATCACAGAGAAGATGAAGCCGTCCTACCAAAGCCAGCGAGAACCGAAAAGAAAAAATTAAATTAAAACTTAAATTCCCAGGGGCACCTGACCGGCTCAGTCAGTGAAGCGGGCAACTCCTGATCTCGGGGTTATAGGTTCAAGCCCCACGTTGGGTACAGAGATTGCTGAAGAACAAAATCCTTAAAAACTAAGAAAAACAAAAACTAAAATCCCTAGGAAAGAAATACTAGATTATAAGGTAGTGCAGGAATATGTGATTTAATCAGACCTTTTCATTGCCCTGAAAATATTAACCACTCCTGACCTGAGAAATGGTTTTAATTCCATGTTTGTTCAAAAGCTTCTTGTAAAACCGTTCTGTCTTTTCAGGAGTTAAATTGGGTTCATCCTTGGTAAGTAAACAAATATCTGTTAAATCTGATCGAATACCATGAGGCAAGGACCTGCAAAATACATGAGAAGGAAGTGAGGGATAAAGCATTATAACAGACAAAATATACGTTTCTACTCCACAGAATATACAATAAATTCAGTCACTTCAACAAACTTCATTCATGCTAAGCAAATACTCTACCAAGAACATTTAAAAATACATCTAGTTTTCAGCAGTCTTGACAGATTTAAGATTCAAGTAAATGATCACAAATACCCAGCATCCAAAATATCAATTAGTATTTGAGATATAACCAGACTTAACAAATAATCAAAGATACCCAAGACAGCGCACACGCAGCTATCATTTTATACGATGCTACAAATGCATGTGTTCTAAAATGTGAACAACCTGGTTTCATGAGGATAGTTCTGCTTCAGAACTTTACCCTGCAGAAAACCCTGGATTCCACAAACAACATAACCCTTAAGAGCTGAGCAGAAGGGGCGCCTGGGTGGCTCAGTCGGTTGAGCAACTGACTTTTGATCTCAGCTCAGGTCCTGATCTCATGATTCGTGAGACTGAGCCCCTTGTCGACCTCAGCACGGGAGCCTGCTTGGGATTCTCTCTCCCTCTCTGCCCTTCCCCTGAAATAAACTTAAAAAAAAAAAAAAAAAAAAAAGGCTGAACAAACCAACAAGGACCAGAAAACTTATGTTTTTTTTTGACAGGAGACAAAAGGACCCCACAGAGGCAGGGGTGCCAGAGAGAACACAGGACATGTTATATACATATATATTTTTTTTTTTAATTTTTTTTTTCAACGTTTATTTATTT